TTAGTAGATTTCAAAGATAAAGTTAAATTTCAATATGATAACTTTTATTTTATTTTAAAAAAATATATTTATTTAAAATGTCAAATATACTAAAATATATATATATTTAAAAAAAAATAGTTTTTAAGTCCGTGAATCATGTGAGCTGAACCTAATGAGATGAACCTAACGAGTTGAACCGAACTGTTCGTGAACTTATAACGAGTCGAGTTTGAGCTTAAAAAAAAGTTTGTGTCGAACTCGAACTCGAACAATTCTTAACGAGTCGAGCCGAGCTGAGGTGAGTTCGAATCGACTCGACTCGACTCATTTCCAGCCCTAAATTAAACAACATCTTCTTCAACAACTTTGGAACATCTTGCATCAGAATTTCTGATGATGTTCCTAGTTCTTCATATCAGAGTTAACTCAATCAGAGTTTCTCTATTAGAGTTTGCAGCAAAGTGCTTTAAGCGTGAAATTCTTTATCAGAGCATACTTGCTTATCAGAGCTTCTGTACTTGCAGCGTTAAGTACTTCCAGAGTCTTCTGAAGCTTTACGTATGTTCTTTACTCAAGTTCTTCTTAGCTTCGCTCAGAGTCATTGTAGCAGATCAAAGTCTTCTGATTCTGATGCTCAGAGCTTTCTCGTTCTGTAGTGTTCAAAGGCGTTCTTGCTTCCAGAATAATATTAATTTTGATATCTGAAACAAATAAACACTTGAACAAAATTAGAGTATATAAATTCTCTATACAAAATTTCATTAATGTTATCATCAAAACTATGAGATATATTAAACACCAATCTGTGTTCTAACAGTATCCACCTTTATTGTAGTTTGTCTGGATGTCGTACGATGGTCTCGACCACCGGCCCGACCCCAATGATGCTGCTGTGTGGACATCAAGAACACCCATAATTAGGTTCACTACGGTGGAGATGCACCAAAGTGACCGGGTGAAGCTACAACTTGGAATGCATCAGGATATTTCAGATGCTCCAATAGAGTTGGGGCAATGGCATCAAAAGTGGGGGGGCTCGCAGTGGAGTGTCAGTCATTGGAAGGAGTTTACGAAAGAGTTATGTAAACACTGGAAGAGAAGAAGGCAGCACGTCTTGACCGACCATATTGTGCATGGGGCTAGGCCAAGTCTTCAATATATGACTTGGTTTAGGTCTGTCACGACGTCTCAGCCATTTCTGTCTCAGCCAACCTATTTGGTTGACCCAAGGCAGCGCGCTTCTTCTTCAAACACACAACAACAGTCCAGTGCCCAAAATCAGCCTTACCATAACCCATACATGCGACCAAATGCCCCCCATCAACAACAACATCCTTACCATGACCCGTACATGCCACCCATCCAATCCCAGCCTCAACCACCATATCATTATAGCCCTGATACGTCTTTTGAGCCTACCCCCTCCACCTATAGCCCAGACAACTCATTTGACCCTACCCCCTCCAACTACCCCTCCAACTATCCACTATTTGACTACCACACCCCACAACAACCAACACACCATTTCCAACTCAATTCGATGTACGAATTCGGACAACCATACCGTCCATACTCCATCCAACCTCCCCGACAATCCTACAAAAACATGGGCATTGGGCTAAACTACAGAAGCGCCGTTGATAGTGGACCTCCCGGCTATTGGGGTCAAATGCTGCAAAATCTATCTGATACGCCGGGGCCGTCCCAACAAAACCCTCCTCCACAACTCAACACACAACGACCAGACACACCACAACAACCTCGTCGCAACGCGCATCCCCTGCAGTGTGGCACCGGTGGTCGCTTGGATAGAGTCGGCATTAGTTTTTTTTTTTAATTGTAATTGTCATTATATTATAAATTAATATTTTTTTAATATTTTTTACATGTCTATATTATTTTAAGGTTATTTAAATTTCAATTCATTATGAAAAACAAACAACATAATTTAATGAGAATTATTTATTAATAGGTAATTAAAATATTTATTAATTTAATAACAAACTTAATATTATTACCATTTAAATATGTATTTAAATATTTGATTACAATTATATTATTATTCTTTAAATAATTTATTAAAATATTTACATAAATTAAAATATTTATTAAAAATATATTTAATATTTTTTTATAGAAAATAATGATAATAATATAAATTAAAATATTAACTAAAAAAAGAAAAAAACGAAACCCTAGTATCTTGGCCTGTGTCGCCAATCACCATGGCGACTTGCTTGCCTGCATAACAGAGTCGCCAATCACTCTGGCGATGTTCATGAAGAATGGTCTGTGTCGCCATTTTATTCGGCGACACGAGGTTGATTTATTGGCCACTTTCGACAATTTTTTGAATATTTAATTATTATGGTAAATTAAATAAAATAGTTGGTTATTGTAAAAAAAAAATCAAAATTATTTCATGGCAATGAATAAGAATAAATATCTTTTTTGTTTTAAAAAAATAATAAAAATAAATATCAAAATTAGTAAAAATATAACCATTAATACTTTAATAGATTACTTTTTTTTTTATAATTTACTTATTTTTTCCTTTTATATATTTTTCTTTTTTATATATATACAAAGTTGAAACCGTTAATATCTATATGTATTCTTTGAATTTTTTTCACAAAATAAATTTAATAAATTCAATTAAAATATACTAAATATTCATTTCTATTTTCTGATTTTCAATTTATGTTTTGTAGACCTTTCGTTTTGCTTTTGTATACTCTGTTTCCAATTTTTAATATAATTTATGTAACTTTATGACTAGTACGGGACATTAAAACCATAAGTTATTTAGAGACATTAAAACAATAATTAATTAATGGTAATTTATTAATATATTTTTATCCTTTTATTTATTTATTTAAAGTTTATCTTACTATTATTTTGTTTCATTTATACCATAATTTTTTTTTTACAATATTAATAAATTTTATTATTTTTTTATGACATTCATTATCTTTGTTAATATAATTAATTTTTCATAATTTGATTACATTTATTTCTTTCTTTTCATAAATAATTAGGAGCGATATTTATAAAATAATAAATAATTACTCTCATTAAATATATTTATTATTTAGGTTTAATTGCAACTTTGGTCCTCCTATTTTGTGTTTTTTTGAGTTTTGATCCCCCCATTTTAAAAACCACGATTTTGGTCCCTTTTTTAGATTTCAAGATTAATATTAGTCCCCTTGTCATTTTAAGTCATGTTTTTAATGAGGTGGCGCGTTGAATATTGATGTGGCATTTCCATGTCACTATGTCAGTTAAAATGATCTTTTTAATTTTAATATAATTTCCATGTCATTAACTTAAATATTATTTCATTTTCACAAATTTAATAAAATAAAACTTAAATAAAAAATCTCAGGTCTTTCATCTTCAACCCATTTCTTCAAACTCATTTCTTCAACCATTCATCAACCCCTATTTTTTCACGAAGAACAACTCATTTCTTCAGCCATTTCTGTAGCCATTTCTTCAAACCCAGTCCTTCTTTCCTCAACAAACCCATACCAACTCTCTTATTTACCAACATGTCCGAAACGAATTTTTCTTTTTCCTCAACAAACCAGTCTGGGTCTGGTATAAGAAGAAGAAGTAATAGATGTTGGTGTGAGCTTGAGTCACCGTTGATGACGTCATGGACATACGATAATCCCGGAAGAAGATTTCATGGGTGTGGTAATTTTAAGGTGATGAGGAAAAAAGGATGTAATTACTTTCAGTGGGTTGATGAAGACATGAGCAGTCGTGCTAAAGATGTGATAAGATCTTTGAAAGACAAGAATGAGGAGCTCATGGATGTGATTAAGGACATCAAGAAAAATGAAGATTTGTTGAAGATGAAAATTAGGTTTATGTATTATTTTGTGGGGTTATCTTTGATGTTTGTCTTTTTAGTTGTGTTTGCATTAGTTGCAACACATGTACTCAATTGATGTAATATCAAATGTTGTAGTTACTTTGATGTTTATGTAGTTTTCAAATGAACTAATTTCAAATGAAGAGTTATGATTGTCTGTGTTACTGAAGAGTTATGTTGTAGTTACTTCGATTGTCTTCAAATGATGTTATGAGAACATATTGAAATGTTATGAGAACAGATTGCGTAATGTTATGGGAACAGATTTGTGTTGGAAACAGATTGTATGAACCATCAAGCTGCTAAACCATCTGTTCATGGAGATGCTATGATCGATTGTGTAATGTTATGACTCCTCTATGCATATTGAAAGTATTTCATGTTATTTTACACAAAAAACAACACATATAGTTATTAAAGTATGTTAGTATTGAACTATAAAACTTGGTGGCAGTTGAAAAAATACACAATCTCATGTTTTGCAGTTTAAAGCACTCATACCTGCTACACTTTAATAACATGTTTGCATCAGAATAATCATACTCAACTAACTGGATCAATTTCATCCCAAACAAAAATACTAAAAGTTGGTGTTATTCAATCTTTAGTGGAAGTTAACTCATTGGAAGTTAACTCATTCTAACAAATCAACACATTGGAATCTAACTCTGGTGTAAGTTCATGTTCTGAAAATGATGATATATGATTAGAATTATGCTTTTAACTGTTCTGAAAATATTGGTACATATTACTACATACTGTATTGTTTTTTATGCTTTATAACTACATTAAAAAATTCATTCATTTTCAATTAATAGTGAATGTAGCTGCACTTGTTATCAATTTTGTAGCAGCAGTTTCAGCAGGTGAAGTTCCATTAACAGCAGTTCAATTATCATGGGTCAATTTGATTATGGATACATTAGGTGCTTTGGCTCTTGCAATAGAAAAACCTACTAAGGAATTAATGGATCAAAAACCTGTTGGTAGACTGATGTATCAAACAACAACATTTTATAACAGCACTACATAACATAACATTGAAGGCTGATGTATCAAGTCTGATGTATCATTACATTGACAACAACATTAAAGACAACATATTTTAACAAAAAGACATTGAGTTTTTTGGTCATCATCCACTTAAATCCCACTTCCTACAATCACATTTCTGTTGAAGCAAATTCACAGCATATGTCTCAACACCGTTTGAAACTTCGAATATAGCAAAGTCATCATCTGCATGCCATGTTGCAATCCATCCTTCTGCTGCCCTCTTTGTTTTTTCCAAGACTTTTTGAATGCAAGGACTTGTAACACCTGTATACCTACTTAATTTCTCCTTTTGAGCAGATATTCTCACTGTTATTTTGATTCCTTCAAGTAGTGAAATGACCGGCTTATCTCTATACTCCAAGATTGCACGATTAAAAGCCTCACATATATTGTTGACTTGCAAATCACATTGTGTGTCTGTTTTGAAATGAGACTGAGTCCAACATGCAGCTGGGACATCCATCATGTCTTTCCAAGCATTGATATTGAGCTCTTTCATATGATTCATTGCTCTTTCCCATGCAGGAATTGTTGTGGCTCTAGCTGCCCGCGATAAAGCCTCCTTCATAAATATCCCAGGATATTTCTTTCTCCAATTGTCATACAAGTGTTTAACACATAGTTTGTGTTCGACATGTTGGCTTGTCTCAAGAATAGTCGATACCAATCCCTAAAATAACAACACATATCAGTATATAACAACAGCAACATTGTATATAGCTTCTAAGCATTATATATAACAGCAGCATTGTATATAACAACAGCATTGTATATAACTTCTAAGCATTGTATATAGCAGTATGAACAGTAATTTAGAAAACAAATGAATAATCAACCATGAGCAGCATGTAACTTCAATCTGTTATAGCAGTATATAGCAGTTATAACTTCAATCTGTTAACCATGAGCAACATTGTATATAATTAGCAGTTATAATTAGCATTGTATATAGTAGTATATAGCAGTTCAATGAGCAACACATTCTTAAGTAATTATCAACCATGAGCAACACATTCTTAAGTACCAATTATAAGTACAAATTATAAGTACCAATTATAAGTACAAATTATATGTAATTATCAAATGAATAATAACTAGTTCAATGGTACAAATTATAAGTACCAAACGTAATAACATAAAGTTTCACCAAAATATATAGCAGTTATAACTTCAATCTGTTAACCATGAGCAGCATTGTATATAATTAGCAGTTATAATTAGCATTGTATATAGTAGTATATAACAGTTCAATGAGCAACACATTCTTATGTAATTATCAACCATGAGCAACACATTCTTAACTACCAATTATAAGTACAAATTATAAGTACCAATTATAAGTACAAGTTATATGTAATTATCAAATGAATAATAACTAGTTCAATGGTACAAATTATATACAATGCTGCTCATGGTTACCAAATGAATAATAACTAGTTCAATGGTACAAATTTTAAGCATCACATATCAGTATTGTACAACAAACAAATCAACATATCAACATATGAGTAATGTACAACAAACAAATCAACATATCAGTATTATACACCAAACAACATATCAACACAACAAACAACAACATCACATATCAGTACTGTACAACAAACAACATGTCAACACAGAAAAGCATCCCATATCAAACAACATTGTAACAAATAGCAGCATTGTAAAACTAACCTTCTGTTGATCTGATATAAATCCATATTTGTTGTCTTGTATAGATTGCAAGTCTTCTAATAACAAATTAAGGAACCATTTCCATGAGTCTTTCGTTTCAGCTTCCACTACGGCATAAGCGATTGGATAAATCTTGTTATTTCCATCCTTACCAACAACACCTATTAACTGACCTCCAAAGTCCCCTTTAAGAAAACAAGCATCCAGTCCTATTAGATGCCTACACGTTGTTGCAAATGCTGCCTTACAAGCTTCTAAGCATACATATATTCTTTCAAAGACAGGACCACCATCTGAATCAGCACACTTAATTTTAACAGTGGAGTTTGGATTTGACTTTAATAACTCCTCACCATAGCTTCTAAGATGTGTGAATTGTTCACGACCAGCACCTTGAATCAATTCCATTGCCTTTTTCTTGGCTATATAAGCTTGATCTTTTGACAACTTCACCCCCCACTTCTTAATAGCTTCTGCAATAAGCCCTTTGGTTTTTATTTAAGGAGTGTGTCTTATGGTGTACACAAATTGGTGACCCAACCAATCCGTTTTTGCTTGTCTATTTTTGGCTGTCCTATGACAGCCATGACGATCAGTCAAGCTAACAAGTTGCCAATATTGATTGGTAGTCCTCATGCTAAACATAATATGAAATGGACAACCATCTACACACTTGACAACCATTCTCTTCTTGTCATTTTTATTGAATACAAGATTCTTCTTGTTCTCCATTGCATACTTCTTTATGGCATCTTTGATTTGTTGTTTATCCTTGAATATCATCCCTACTTCAAATTTTGTGGGTTCCCTAAAGATTGGAAACTTTGTCGTATCACCTTCAACATCACTACCGGGTGGAGTTTGAAGCACATATGAATCACTACCATTATCGGAATTATCATCCAACTTTGAAGGTTTTTCTGCTGTAGCATTAGGTAAAACGGTCTTCCAATTTATACTAGCATCAACGCCTAAATTCATCACATCAATTTCATCTTCCAAATCTTCATCCTCTTCCTCGTCATCCTCACTACCCATGCTATAATCTGGACCTGTTTCACTCTCGTCATCTACGTCATCAACATTAACGCTAAGCTCTTCATCTACTTCATCAACAATAACCTCTTCATCTACTACATCAACACTAACCTCTTCATCGTTTGCTCCCTCGACATTAACTTTATTGTTTGCTCCCTCAACATTAACTTTATCATTTGCTCCCTCAACATTAACTTCATCATTTGCTCCCTCGACATTAACTTCATCGTTTGCTCCCTCGACATTAACTTCATCATTTGCTCCCTCGACATTAACTTCATCATTTTCTCCTTCACCATTGCCTTTTTCACCATTTCCTCCTCAAAAATAACATCCTCAATACTTATTTCTTCAACTTTGTGTTCAACATAAAGATCAACTACCTTAAATCCTCTAACATCCTCCATTAACCTTAAGACATCATTATCATTGTTAAGAGGCCGAAGTCCACGAGAAAAGGAAAAATTAGGATTCCAATACCATAAACACTTTATATTACGATACCCCTCACTCTTGATCAAATCTTCAATTTGCATGTAGGACATCAAGTTCACATCCCAATCCCAATTCATTTCAGTTACAAGCCCATCAACATACAACAAAACTGGATTCTGAATTAAATGTCCCCTATGGTGTACTCTAAATCTGACAGCTTGGGTATCAGAGGGCCTACAAAACACAAACGAAAGTTTCTGAATTAAACCATAGATAAAACCGGGATTTGGTATTAACAAATCATATGCTATGACAGAACATAAACACCATTTGCATGTTTAGGGTTTTTGTATTCAGAGGTGAGTTACGAAACATATCTCGACACGTAACTTCGGTTTGCCATTTCAGAGACGATGGGAAGCGAGCTGCGGTTTAATTTGAAGCGAGTTGCGGTTTGATATAGAACTGGGTTTGAAGAATGGGAAGATGAAAATGGGTTACAATGGGAAGAAGAAATGCGAGCTGCGGTTTGATTCGTTCGTGAAGAAATGGTTACAATGGGTTGAAGATGAAAATGAAATAATATTTAAGTTAATGGGGTTTTTTATTTAAGTTTTATTTTATTAAATTTGTGAAAATGAAATAATATTTAAGTTAATGATATGAAAATTATATTAAAATTAAAAATACCATTTTAACTGACATGGAAATGCCACATCAGCATTCAACGCGCCACCTCATTAAAAACATGACTTAAAAAAGGGGACTAATATTAATCTTGAAACCTAAAAAAGGGACAAAAATCGTGGTTTTTAAAATGGTGGGATCAAAACTAAAAAAAAAACGTAAAATAGAGAGACTAAATTGCAATTAAGCCTATTAATTATTAAAATATTTATGTAAGTGATGTCAAAACATAAAAATATTATTTACGAAAAATAACATTGTTGAATAAACTATTTTTAGATACCGAAAAAAATATTATTGTTATAAATGAGAACATCTTTAATTTGTTTTAAATATTAAATAATATAAATTTATTGATCATTTTTACAAATATGTAAAAAGATTTAATAAAAAAAATATTATTGTTATAAACGAAAATAACTTTATTACATTTTGGCAGTGTTTTAAAAACCGGACCGGACCGATTGGACCGGGAACCGGCCTAGTAACCGGTCTGGTTTACTAGTTCGATCGTCTGTGTCATCAAACCGGAAAAAACCGAGAAAAATCGGGTTAGACCAGAAAAACCGGGTTTAGGGTTGGACCGGTTCTAATGCATTTTTTATTTTTTAATTAAAATTTAAATGCAAAAGTTATAAAAATAAAAAAAATTGTTTAAAATTAGATTATGCTGCAATTATTTTGTAATTTTGTATTATTTTGTTATGTGTGATACATTTGTTTAAAATTTAAATTTAAATTATGAACTTGTGAATTTATGATATAATATTTTCAAAAAATTTAAGTACTAGTTATATTTTTTTAGAAACTGAATCATCCGGTTCGACCGGTTTTATATCTATATAATGACAGGTCTATTCAACCAAGTTATCCGATTTAATCCGGTTTAGTCATGCGGTTCGACCAGTGACCCAGTGGTTCAACCGATAAACCAGTGACCCAGTATCCTCACCGGTTCGATGACCGGTCCGGTTTTTAAAACACTGCATTTTGGAACCAAATGTGTATACTAACTATAAAAAATAAATATCAATACTTGAGATTTCAAATTTATTTTCATAAATCGTTAAATATTTAAAATTTTATTTTTTTTACAGAGATATTTGATCTTTATGAATATCTCACGAAAAAGATATTTGTAATAATACCTACATAAATTATGATATTTGTAATAACTATGGAAATAAGTGAATTACTTAAACATGAGAAATAAAGTCTTTGATAATATGACAAAGTATATGACACAGATATTTTTATACACGGGAAAAATTTAAATACTTTATATTGAATTTTATTTTTATATATGAGAAAAAATGTATTGATGATTCAAATAGTTTTATAAATGAGAACAAGTTTTTTATTCATCAAAATATTTTTATAAATAATATCCAAACAAAATTCTTATTTAAATACGAAAAATATAAAGTTGATCCAAATATTTATATATATGAAAAAACTATATTTATGATCGAAAAATAAATAAAAATTTGTTTTTCTTTTAAAAATAATAAACTTTCTTAGATAAATAATTTTGTCTTTATTGATGTATTTATTTTTCTTTCTATCCATTTTTATTACATTTCAAAAATAAATGTGCATAACTCACTAGTACCCGTGTGAACGCATGGGTATCCAGACTAAAATATGTGCGAACACACTGGTTATTACAATTATGGTTCAACTAAAGAAAATAAAGTTAAATATATTTAAAATAAAATATGAATCCAAACACGGGAAAAGTATATTTGTTTATGTTACCAATATTTATTTATACAATTAAAATAATATTTACAAATACTATGTTATCATTTGATATTTATAAAACTAAATCGATGCATAAATATTTTTATAAAAAAATATCAAAACAAAATTAATATTTACATATCAGAAAATACACGTTTGGTTCAAATATTTGTATATATGAAAAAATTAATTTATGCTCCAAATATAATTAAAAATATGTTCTTCTTTCAAAAATAAAAAACTTTTTTGGTAAAATAATTTTGTCTTCTTTTTTACTTTTTTTAAAACATATACGTGTCACCAACCGATGTGCGCAGGTATTGATTCTATCTTTTTTTTCAATATAAATTATATTTTTATTATTTACTAACTTTTATTAATCCTATTTTTTTTTTCAAATTTTAAATTTAAACAAATACGCGTCACCGACCAGTACCCGTACAAAGGCACGAGTATCACACTAGTTCTTATTAAAATTACTATTCATTATTTTATAGAAAAGACTGTATTCGACATAGGTATGTTTAATTTAGTCAAAGTAGTGAGTCAAGTAAGAGTAAGTTGTATTCGAAAAAGTTGAATATAATATGTGATTGTTAGATTGAGCAAAGCATGTATTCGACTGATTTGAATTAAACAATTAGTATTTTGATTGCCTATATAAAGAGGTGACAATATTAACACTTAGTAGTTTTTTCAATACAACAATTCATTTTTTATCAAATTCCCTTTTCACATATAGTTTTTCTCTACTCTTTCTGTATCTCTCTTCTTCTTCTTCTTGAAACACTAATTGTTCCAACAAATTAGTATTAACGAGTTCGGTTGCGATTTAGAGATAATTTGAAAGGGCAAACGGTAATACAACATCAACGCAACTTTCAGCGAATTTATCGGTTTTCAAATGGGAGAACTACGAGAGGTGGGTTGCGTAAATGAAGGCGATCTTTAGATTTCAAGATGTGGCTGAAATCGTGAGTGATGGAGTACCGGCGTAGGAAGATAATGTGAACGATGTTAAGAAGCCTGCACACAAGGAACAAAGGAAGAAAGGTGGAAAATCTCTATTCTTGATCCATCAATGTATGGATCCTAATGTGTTCGAGAAAATGATTGAAGAAGAATTGTCTAAAGGAGCGTGAGACAAGTTAAATAACTTATATGATGGAGAGGAGAAAATGAATAGGTTGAAGTTGTAGACGCTGAGAAAGCAATTTGAGATGACTCAAATGAAGGAAGATGAATCAGTCTCAAAACTCTTCTCGCGTGTGGTGTTGTTGACGAACCAGGTGAAGGCATACGGTGAATCAATCACTAATTTGCAGAAGATTGAGAAAATGTTGAGATCTCTGATAGAAAAATTTGATTATATCGTCGTGTCTATTGAAGAGTCCAAGAACCTATCTGAGATGAAGATGTAAGAACTTTAAACTTCATTGGAGGCTCATGAAATGATACTAAAGCAAAGGAACTAAGAAAGGGAGAAAATGGCGGAACAGACACTA